TGTGTGTGTGTGTGTGTGTGTGTGTGTGTGTGTGTGTGCGTTTTCAGTCCTTCCTGGATTTTACTAAATGGTATATTAGGAAAAAAAAAAGTTAGCAAGAAATCCAAATCATGCTTATATTTAAAGATTGCAATAGATACCATTTAAAGAGATGAAATGGATAAAATTTCTCCAGTTACTTATATAAGGAATTCAGTAAGTCCCCAACTCACACAGGAGTTCCATTCTGAGAGAATTGTTCCTAAGTTGGATTCGTTTGTAAGTCTTGACAAAGTGAATCTTATACAGTACACCTGTGAAAGTTTGTAGCTCAAGCATTCATAAATTGAGAACTTACTGTATAAATGTTCACCCTTAGACCAGGTTTTTCTTTCTTGTACTATTTGATTTACAATATTTTAAAGTATTCTATAAAAATCAAAGCTATCCAAATGAGGATGTTTAACTAATATAAGCTATGATTAAACTTATTGAACTGATTACTGTTTATATTGAACTGATTACTGTTTTAGAAATGAAAGGAATATGTAAGTAACCCTTCCATGCCCTTTCTTGGAAAATGTGTCATGTTTTGGTAAATTACATAATCAAAATAGCCTTCTGTACGTATGACATGGTATGTGAATATCCTTTTTTTGGGTATATGACTTATTTTAACTCTGCAACATAAATATATCCACTGTAAGCAACTGAGCTAATGGTCCTGCTGTGTGAAGGTCTCTAATAAAGCCTACAATTTCCACAGAAGCAGTAAAGGAGAAAGGGGAGCCTTTGTCTACCTTCGGAATCCTTCTTATTTGTGGTACTGGGGAAATGAACTCAGGGTCTTCACACTGAGCTACATCTCCAGCTCTCTTTGACACAGGGTCTTGCCAAGTCACTAAGTCGCCCAGGTTTGAGCCTCAGCTTCCCAGAATGCTGGGATTACAGGCCTGTATTACTGCTACCAGCTCCCAAACTTCTCTTGTAAGCAGCATAGGACAAGTTCTGCAGCTGTGCCACCATTGATGTGCTATGTGTGGAACCTCAGGTTTCCACCAGTTCCTAGAGAAAGCTGTGTGGCTGCTCATAGGTTTAATGAAGTGGGGGTGTGCTCATTCCAGAATGATATGGAACATGGCTACATTAGGGTTTGTCTTCAATCCACCCAAGTGAAATCATTTGGAACAAACTATATTTCCATTTATTTTCCCTGAAGATATGTCTAACAGCCCTTTTCCATAGTAGAGTCACTAGCAGTCCTGATTCCATGATGATTTCTCTCACTTACTTTTTGCTGGACCCATAACAAACTCTCCTAGCCTACCACCTCCTTTTTATGAGGTGTAGTTGAGAAACGCAGTGTTTAAGTTTAAAATATTTTACTACAGTGAAGGACACATTTCCATAAGTAGCCCTCAGAATCCTGCCCCTTGCCTCAAAAACACTCATCCCATTGTCCTTGTCATTCCCTGCAGCAGCTGTGGAGTCTTCTTTCCTGAGTGTCTTTCGTTGCACTGTGTGGCTGCCTCGATGTCCTAAGTTGATTCAAAACATTTCCTTTTTGACTTTGGGGAAGAGCTGGATGTCACATAGTGCCAAATCCAGTGACTGTGTGGTGGATGAGGACACAATGTCATATTTTTGTAACCCTGCCTTCCCATTGGATGGTGCTCAGCAGCAGCCCTCATTGTGCTTTTTCCTCACAATTTGTGAAGACACTCAGGAAAGGGGAGTTCAAGAGCTGTTTCAGAGTCGCAAGAGTGATGGGATACGTGTGTTGGAAGTAAGGGGTGCATTCTGAGGGGGACTAATAGCAGTGTGTGTTTACTGTACTAGTTTTTTAAAAAATTTAAACATTCCTTTTGTATTCTGACCATCCCTTGTAATTAATTACTCAGTAAGTAGCCACAACAAAAGCAGGAACCCACCACACCTCCAATGACGTGAGGAGTGGCATCAGAGTCACACATACACACTGCACTACATGCTCATTTCACCAGAAAGAAGAGAGCTGAATCACCCTAAATAGTAAGGAGCACTGTGCGGAAGAGACCAGAACTGGACTCAGAGCTGCCCCAGGCTGGTGATGATGGGGCTGGGCTACTGAAGGAGGAGCCTTCGCATTTTCCATGAATGGGGGAGCTGCGACTCCTACCGACCCAATAAAATATTGCCCATTTCCTTTGTGTCTAGGTGGCCCTAATCAAGGACAGAGATGTGGCTGCACTCTCCTAGTCACCCATCAGCACAGGGTGGATGGTGTGTCACAGCTGAGCCCTAAGGGGGGCTCCTCTGTGGAGTCGTCCTGCCATCACCTTCCACTCTGGGCAGGGCCTCACAGGGAGCCCTGTGGACAATGGAAAGTTCTTGCTGTCACAGAGCCATCACCCCATCCTGGGGGCTCTGTTCTCCCTGACTGTGTCCTGCCCTGCCCACGAAGGGGAGGTGGCAGCTCCATCCATGGCTGGAGGTGAGGATGGAGAAAAGATGGCTTGAGGCCCAATTTCTCCTCCTCTGCCCCACTGTCAGGGTCACTGCTCTTCTCACGGGACCACTCCCAGGGGAGGCCCAGACTCTGCCAATATACCACAGCCCTTCATGGCCACTACAGAACCTGAGCAAACTCAGAAATGGGCTCTGGGTACATGCTTGAGCCCTCTGCCACCAGAAGTCTCTCCTGCTCCCCCCCACCGTGCCTACCCTCCCCTTGGATGCCCTGCTGTGCCACGTGCAAGGTGCAGATGCTTTCTTAGGGTTCACCTATCCCCTTTGAGAAGGAGCTCCATGAGGCTTTCAATAAATGTGGGATAAGGACACAGACACCAGAGAGGTCTCTAAAACCTGCACCATGAAATATGCTCCTCATGTGTAGGAAGAGACATCCTGAGCCCCATCTTCCCCAAAGAACCCGTTCTGCCCCTGCCTCCTAGGGAGGCTCTTCCTCCACGTGGGAAAAGTGGGAAGGGGCTGGTAGGAAGCACCTCCCTTCCCCTAGCACGCACCTGGAGGGCCTGCTGTTGTTGAATTTGGCTTTGTGCAGTGCCCGACACCAACACTGACAGCACAGTGTGGAAGAAAGAAACCTGTGCTTGGCAGGCCGTGTAGACCACACTGAAGGCGAACTAGACCAAATGGCCAAGAACTTTGCTCTCGCTGACCTGGGAGGCTGTGGGGCATCTAGATAATGGACCACCCAGGTTTCTAACCTAATTAAAGGCGAACTGTGTGACGCCCCTACCTCCCCCGGCTCTGGCCTGTTTGGGACGTGCTTAGAGACCAGTGACGCTCTCTCAACCTGCTCCTGCTGCATAGGCCTCTCTGCTGCATAGACCTCCCGCCTGGACGGGCCTGACCTCTGCTGAAAGCGCCAAGGTGGGAATGACCTGCGCGTCACCTCAGCCAGGAAAGTATCGCTGCCATTGCCGACAAAGAAGCTCCGCAGGCAGTCTCAAGGGCAGGGGCACCATGAACCGGAAGAAGAGTGTTTGGAAAGTTCCAGGGCGCTCGATAAGGCCTGCCGAGCAAGGGGCCTCTCCAAGCCCCACTGGCTTGGCATAGTGAGAAGAGGCGCCCCCCACCCCCAAGGCGCCGTTCTCCTTTTCGTGTGCATGAATGGATTGCGCATGCGTGCGTATGCGTGTGTCACACGCAAGAGCCCTACGTATGCGTGCATGCTTGTGCGTGCGTGCGTGTGGTGCATTTCCCGCCCAGTGCCTCTGGTACGAGCTATCCACTGTGCGGGATGTGCGCGCCCAAGGCCGAGGTCGGGCAGCTGACACGGGAGGCCCGGAGCTGGGCTGGCAAGGCGCTGGATGTGGGTCCCCACCCCGCTGCTGCTGTGGGTCGACCTACCGGAGTGTGTCCGCAGGTGGCCGGTGAGGGCGTCCCTCCGGCGGCAGGCATAGTTGCAGAGGTGGCACTTGAAGGGCTTCTCCCCGGAGTGCAGCTTGATGTGTCGGAGCAGGTTCCCTTTCTGGGTGAAGGAGGCCCCGCACTGATTACACTGGAAGGGTCGCTCTCCTGGGACGAGGAGAGGAGAAGGTGAGAACAAAACTCGAAACTCCGCGCGCAAGGGGACAAGGGACCACCGTGGCGGCGAGAAAGTTGTTTCCCACGGGGGGCTCAGTGACTTCCACCGGCTGCAGGTTTGATAGAACATGAGGCTTTCAGACGAAACCTGCCAGCTCCTTAACGCTTCACTGGCTGGGTCAATTTGATCTGAAAATCTAATTTTTTTTCCCTAAATCAGAATGGCACATCACAATGCAAATTCAAACTCATTTAAATAAAGTGACTGCAACATTTTGTGATGAAGAGCCACTCTTCCTGATCAGCAGTTTTGGAATAAACCAATATCCAATTTTGCGTGTTGTGGCATTTGGTGGGGTTTTTAATGTGGCTTTTTTCAAAGGGTCTTTAAAATATGCCACTGAAGCAGCAAAATAAAAAGGAAACTCATTAAAAATGCATTTCAGGATCACAAGTTCATTTCAGCGTTACATTCTTATATTTAAATGAAAGGCACTTCATTATAACAGTTATAATAACTTCTTTTCATTTACATTTTCCCTGTATTTTCCCTTTCAATTTCTTCTCCATTACCTGTCTGTCCCTAAGCAGGCAAATCAAGAGAGAGACAGAGAAGTGTAGGGTGAGAGAGGAAAGAGAGAGAGAAAGAGAGAGAGAGAGAGAGAGAGAGAGAGAGAGAGAGAGAGAGAGAGAGACATTTCAGGATCACAAGTTCATTTCAGCGTTACATTCTTATATTTAAATGAAAGGCACTTCATTATAACAGTTATAATAACTTCTTTTCATTTACATTTTCCCTGTATTTTCCCTTTCAATTTCTTCTCCATTACCTGTCTGTCCCTAAGCAGGCAAATCAAGAGAGAGACAGAGACGTGTAGGGTGAGAGAGGAGAGAGAGAGAGAAAGAGAGAGAGAGAGAGAGAGAGAGAGAGAGAGAGAGAGAGAGAAAGATGGAATAAAACAAGTTAAGACACAGTGAAGCTAGGGTCCCACCTTGCACTGAAAAGTCCCCAAGCTCCTGAAACAAGGCTTCAAAGTCAAAGTTGCATTGAGAGTTTTTGTCTTTTTCTTTCTGCAAAACTTTTTAACCTTTAAGCTCTTTGTCTTCATCCACAGAAGACAAGTGCTATTTCAAGTACAGATCTCCTCAGAGGTGGGATTTCTTGTTCTGGAGAAATTCTTCCTGGGATGGCATGTGGCACATGGAATTGGTGACCCACTACAGCCTGGGACATCTGCCATGTGTGGCAAGGTGTGTACTGATATTTTAGATATGACAAACGGGCACACAGGGATCTGTGAACAGGAAATACGCCGTTGTCCTGCAGGGCAGTCATAGGTCTTGGATTCTTAATGGGGTGAATATTTCATTGAATCCTCACTTAGAAGAGTGACGTGTTTGTCACCTTTAGGTAAATATGAAAGCTCTTTGAATAAGCAAAGGCTTCACTTGAAAGAAAAGCTCAGTGTGACTGTCACTGTGGAGGCACCGTGAGAATATGTCCTAGGGATAATGTTTTCTTAGAAATAGAAACTGATTATTAAACCATTTTCCCTGTTGATCAAGGTGACTGTGGAGAAGAGATAATTTAGCAAAAACAACTAAGTAGAAGCATATTAGGTAATATTAAAATCCACACAAGAATATATATTGAACTCTATGTTGATGCTTGAATTTCCTGGTTATTGTTGCTCCTTTGAAGGGGCAAGCACAGATGTGCTACTCTAAAAGTTTAAACAGATTAAAAGATGTGTGCAAATTAGGTCAAATTGAGGGGCTCGGTGCTAACCAGAATGTCTTGAGTATTTCCCCAAATTCCTCTCCTGAGCAGAGAAAGGGTTTCAGGGCCAGCAACCTGGACGGTGAGGGCAGAACTAACTCATACCCAGCTCTCTGCAGCCTGACCCTGGGTGGAGAGCTTAAAGCAGCTGGGAGCTCGGCAGCCCTGAGGCACCTCTGGTGGATGGATGAGCATCTATTACAAACACTTCTGGGTCTTCCTCACACAGGTTCATGAGTGTGTTTGTTTAACTGAAATGGACAAAAGGAAAAGAAAATGGAAAGACACTGCAGAGAGATGCAGGCAGGGGACATGGGAGCACACTTCACTTCATAGCTCTAGCATGGACAGAACACCATCGAAAAAACCCAAGTCTCAATGATGCCCATAAGAAGGACAGGAGGACACTGTTGGGGGACACAAGTGTGTGTGTGGTGTGACCCAGAGCTGGTGATGGGTGGAAGCTGTGTCAACCCCAGGTCTAATGGGCAGGAAGGAAACCATGGGTAGCTTTAGTGTCTCTGGGTTGGGGGTTGTTGCCCTCTGTTCTGGATAGTGACATCTACCTTATGACTTAGGGATGCTCCTCCTGTACCCTGCTGTGCCTGGCATCTTAATCCCTGTGGTGAGCTTCACTGGAGATCTATTTGTTTCTAGTCACCTGGAATCTGTAGCCAAGCTGTGGGAGGCCTCAGAGCAGGGCAGTGGGTACCGCCCATCACCCACCTCCTGCACATGCTGCAGGGAACCAGATCCTGTCTCTCCAAGTTTGGATTTACTTCTGTTTCACTGAGATGAGGACTTTGACACACCAAATTCCAAACAGGTTTCATCTCAGTGACTGTGCATTCTTTGTGGTGGGGACCTGGGTAAGAGGCTCTGAGCCCTTCTGAATGACTTAAACAAGAAACCAAGTCCTCGCTAGAAGTCACCTCACAGTTTCAGGGGCTGATCGGAAGGAGGGGGATTAAAGAACAGGTCCAAACTGCAGTGCACCATGCAGCAGCCTGACTCTTAGTACTAGGGACATGGCGAGGACATCTTCTGCCCTCACGGTGGAAACAGAGACCTCCTCCGTCATCCTCTAGTATGGCAATGCCACACATGTGCACACTGGCTTCCCCCCTGCATTTCCTGCTCTGTCTCCCCACTGAGGTGCCAGTGTAGGCACTGCCCCCACATCTGAGTCCTTAACAGGAATTGGGTGGCCAACAGGAAGTGAAGCCAGCGCTAGTGAATCATTTAGCAGTGGTACGTCATCCCTGGAGAGACCCCTGATATCCCCGCAGGTTGTTGGGGAGGGGTTGGGGGTCCCTAGAGGCCACTGGCCAGTGGTGGCCACAGTGGAGTCCCAGCTCATCCGTCAGGAGTCATATGGACCTGGACTCCTGTTTGGAGTGCTCTGGGGTCCTGCCTGGCACCCTGGGGGTGGCCAAAGTGGGTCTTTATCCACCTCTACCTTTAACCATCACACAAGTGCAAATCCTTGAGTTGGTCAAAACAGTAGATCTTCTGTCTATACACAAAGGGCTAGTTAGGGACCATAAAGCTGGGGGCGCACTCCTCTTTCTGGAAGTTGTTTGTATCATAAATGATCTGAGAGTGCTGGGGTATGTGTGACACTCAGCTGATTTTTGTGGGCAGAAGAGAGGATGAGCAGCAGGTGCCACTTTGTGTGTCTGTACTCCACAGGTTAATTAATTAAAGGTAATTTTTCTTTTTATCTAGGCAGGCAATCATTCTGTCCTGGCAATTTAATATGCCAAAATTTGATTTAGTTATCAAATATTTACAAGAGAATTTTCACTGTCCAGTTGAGCTTTGCATAAATTAGCAGGAAGGGAGTTCATTTGAGGTTGATTCCTCAGCAGGAAAGTGATTATATTCCCATAGGTCCTAGAGTATATGCTCATTGTCATCTGGGCTGGCTTTTGTGACCTTCACATTTGGGTCCACTCATTTTAAGGGACAGCAGGATGGCTGGATGTGATGGGTCCATATCAGGAGTAATCTGAAGAATAAGGGACCCACTTAGAAAAGCAAAGTTGGCTTAATTTTAGAAGCTACACTATTTTTTTTTCAGCACTAGGGATTAAACCAAAGACCTTCGCACTGAGCTATATCTGCATCCCTATTTTATTATTTATTTTGATTTTTATTTTATTTCTAACTTAGAAGATACACTTTCACTGAAGAGGAATGTCTATTGAAATTCAATGTATTTATGGTTTTCTCCATATATGACAAAAGGAATATATCCTTTAAAAAACTGCTCCAATTCATATATAAAATTACAATCCCATAAAGACCCACATTTTCTGGTAACTCAGCTTTTTCTCTCCAGTTTATGGATTCCAATTTAGTTTTCTGTTAAGTACATATTTATTTGGTCCCATGTAAGGACAGTAGGCTATGAGCTTCCTCAATTTCCTGAGCTATCTTGTGACATCTGCTGTGATCCCAAAGTCCCTTTCACTTGTGTTTTGTCTGACTGATTTTCGTCCTGCTTGCTACACGGCAGGTGCTACTTCATGACAACTGCCATGGTAGGGGTGGGGATGACTCAGGGTGTCCATGTCACATCAAGCTTTCTGTGGCTTTGGGAGTTGTGACATTTATCATGTTTTGTCCACTTTTGGGGAGGTTTCTTATGGAAAGAAAAGCAACGTTTCTGTTCAAAGAACTGTCATACACACAGCTAAAGGTAAACCAAGTGCCATTAATCTTTTACTTCTAAGACTCTGGTGCCCTTAGTGGTAGAGGGACAGTTTTGCTGAACAAGTTGGTGACTGCTCAGTCAACGCTCATAATGACAGACACATGACACAGGGCTGAGGCAGGCAGCTGAGGCTTGCAGGGCTCCCATATCCCAGAGAGAGGACACCTCATGGACTTGGGGGAAGCCCTGGGAAACGTCCTTGCCCATCTTCATTTCTGGACACTGGATATTACATTCTGTCATCCCAAAGCATCAGGAAACCTTTCATTGTGACAGGGATCTGGCACAACATTACCAATGTGAGATGACAACTAGTGGCCATCTAGCAGTGTGACCAGAGTCTCTGCTGAAAATTATCCTGAACCTGAGCACAATGACATTTTGTTCTTTATGCATTGCTTGCTAATCTTTCTCAACATCAAGCCCTGCTGGCTTGAATGCAATGAAAACATGGGTTCACCTTTGTTACAGGGGGACATATAACACGTCCATGTAAGGGTGCAGCAGGGTCACTCATTGTGTACAGGGCACCTAGGAGACCACACCGAGACCCCGTTAACCTTTCCCTTCTTATTTACAGGGTCAGAGAGGTCCATGTTGAGGGGCCTTTTAAATATTGTTCCTGAGTAAGATCGAGATGCCTCAGTATGCCTAAACAGAGCTGTTTGCAAATGCTCAATCTGAAACCCTCTCAGAAGACGCCACATAGAACATGTGTTTGGTTCCTTCCACACCCGCGGGACCTTCTGGGCTGCTAAAGGAGAAACTAAGGCAGGCCTTACCAGTGTGGCTCCTCTTGTGAACCATGAGCACATTGGGCCCGATGCAGATAATCCCACAGATATCACACTTGAGTTTCCCGTTAGGAAGTCGAATGCCTCCAAGTCCCGACAAAGCCGCGCTGCCTTGGTCCCTGTGAGAGCCATTCATTTTCTCTCCCGAGGCATCAAGCATTCGTAAATCCTCCGCACATTCTTCCCCATTCACTTCACAGCCACGCCCATTCTCTTCATCACTCTGAGTCTCTACTTTAACATTACTGGCTGAAAGAAACAACACAGGAGGCCACTCAGTGTCAATGCAAAAAAAAAAGAAGAAAAAATAAAAATACAACACAGTAACAGCAGAAAAAGATGAATACATCGATGACGCTGAGATAGCACATAGAATTCTTGGCAGTACCATGGGGAAGGGGGGCCCGATTTCATCTCTGGGTCTGCACTGCGGCCCCATGGGGTCACCCAGGGAACAGGGACATTGGAAGCACCTGCAGCCCTCCACCCCCGAACCCAGATTGAGAGCAGCATATGGAGCTGCCTGACCAAGATCTTTATAACACTTCCTTGCCTGGTTTCACAGACATATTAACAAATTTGGGACAGAACACAGCAAACTCGTGCTCTCCTTGGAGTTCTCATCATGAATCCCTTTTGGGTTCTCAGAAGATCTTTCTGTTTCTTTGTCCCTTGATCATGAAGCTTTTCCTCTCCAGTAATACCAGCCAATCCTGAGCCCTCTTCTATGTCTCCTGCTTGCTACAGAGTTTGCCAGGGTTGTTTATGAATATGAGAGATGGGCAAGATTTTTTCAAAGAGAAAGACACATGTGGGGTGGTGAACCGCCAGGTTAATGAAGATGAGAGCTGCTGCTGTCTTCACTTCATTGTTTGAGTCACACGGAGCGTAATTATCTCTCCCGCATATTTTTCTTCTCAGAGAAAATATGAGGCACCTCTTGTGTTCTTCTGAGATGCTGACATGAACCCAGCTCTGTGGGAACCAGAAGAGACTAGCCAAGATGAAAGCCCTCATTCCCACCACTGTTTTCACACAGCCCAGTGTTTCACCAGGTGAAAAATCAGTATCAGTGAGTCATTGGCAACCAAGACTATGTGTTTGCCTTTTTTTTTTTTTTTAAAGGCAGGGACTGGCTATGTAGTTCAGGCTGGCTTTGATCCCACTGTGTAGCCCAGGCTGGCTCCACCTGTGTCAATCTTCCTGTCTCAGCTTCCTGACTGCTGGATTACAGGTATGCAGCAAGACTACATAATTTTTGATCCTCAGTTCTCAGTCTGGTCCTCAGATGCAGCCTCAGCATCACCAGAGAACAGGTCACATGCAGATTCCTGGGTTCCCCTGACCCCCTCATCTTTTGCCACTGGGTTGGTCCCAGTGCTCTGTACTTTAGCCCTACCCTACCTCTGGGGACTCCAGGTAAACTCTAGATTGAAAACAGTGGCTTTGAATCATCAACCTCGTCCATCACCCTCCAAGTTTATTTTACCCACTGAATTCCCTGGTTTGGAGATGGATGTAGAGAGCAGCCCTTGGCTGCAAGCCCTAGTCTGCAACCTCAAGTCCACTGTGTGGAAGCTCAGAGATTGTGGGCAAGTCCCCACACCCAGGTTTCCTCACCCATAAAAAGGGGGCATGACTGTTGTCAACCAGGGCAGCTGTGAGGACTGGGGGTGATGGATGACATGCCTGCTCAGGACAGGGACACAATGGGCAGAAGACAGCAACTGATGGAGTGGGCCTGTCCTGACCCCGGGGAGGTCAGTGGCACACACTGTGCACCAGGCACACAGCACTAGCAGTTCTACTGTGCCAGATCCCGCACAAGAGAGCTACAAGGAAATAACCATTCATTTGGAGATACAGAGGTTGAACAACTTGCCATGGGCACATGGCTAGTGTGTCAGAAGTACAGGCCATCCGGCTCCAGTGCTGATGACCACACTGCTATTGTGGTTTATATCTAGATGCCCCCCCAAGCCTTGAGCATTCATGGGTGGGGCTTTTGGGAGGTGACTGCATGATGGGGTGAGATGCTTGTCAGTAGATGAGGCCACCAAGGATTTTATGGCTGGCTGTGATGTTGGGAGTTGGAGCCTGGTTGGAGAAGGTGGCACTGGGGCATGGCCTGGAAGGTCTGTTTTCTTCCTCCTCCCTTGATCACTCAGCTTTCAGTCTTTATGCCATGAACTCTTTCTCCTCTGTCATGCTGCCCTGGCTTGGAGCCAGCCGGCCGTGGACTGAAACCTCACAAACCGTGAGCCAAAGTAAACCTCTTTTCCCTTAAGTTGCACATGGTGGGAATTTTGTCCCAGGGATGAGAAAAGTAACCAAGATAACTACAAACCTTTTTCCATGAACTTTTTGGAGAAAAGTCTTACAGGGAATGGAAAGAAATGACAAGAACATGAAACTCAGCCCCTATAGTAAACAGCAAGATCTGAAGATAAGTGGCACTTTGCATTTCAGCAGCTTCCTGCTAGCACCTCCTAGCCAACAGGGACAAATGACCACATCCTCCTGACGAGGTCAGTGAAGGATGCAAGCAGGCGGGGGCAGCCAGGCTGCCACTCTACCCTCAGTATTCTGTGACTACTGAGCCATGCAGAATCAGGATCTTCATAGGGTGTCCTATGCACCTTGTTGGGTGGAAGTGAATTAGCTTGTTCCTTACTGTTCCCTGGGGTTGCATCGCTGTGCTGTGATTTGATGAGTGTCCCCATGTGGTAAAAGCTCATTCGCTGGGTGGCTGTTAGGGGTAGGGCCACACAGAAGGTCTCTAGGTCACTGGAGGGTGCTTTTGGAAAGGACAGTGGCTCCTGTGTCTCGATTTCTCTGCTTTTTGGCTCACGATGACAGAGGTGCATGCAGACAAGTGCTTCCCACCACTGCCACCTGATATCCCCCCTAGGAACAGAGCGATGGGGCCTGATCTTGGTCTGGCACCTCTGGCACTATGAACTAAATGAATTTCAAATCTGTGTAAACCAGTGAGTCTCCAGATCTTACAGCAACAGATGAGGTACTGAGTCAAACCTGCCCCAGAAACAATAAAGCTGTAACAATCTGTGCTCTCTCCAATTTAAGAGTGATTTTCATTATCCATCTTGTGGCTTTTGAAAGTGAAACTGGGATATTCTAGTGCCCAGTGGAGTGGACTGGGGTGAATGTTCTACCAGGAAGCCTAAAAGTCAGGACTACCAGAAGCAGGACAGCCAGAGTTCCCAAGTCTGGAAAGAGGACACCTTGCTGAACAGAGCCGGAGTGATCTCCTAGCTAGTATGTCATCAGCTTAGCTAATTTGCTCCTTAAGAGGGAGTGAGCTGGACAGGTTTTCCTGGGCCATCCTGAGGACATGTGCACTTGGGAGAGCCAGGGCTCTTCTGCAGAGATGAGGTGGCAGTGGCTGTGTGACACCCAGGAATGCTCTGTGGTGTGTGTCTTAGGGAGCTCTGTGGGCTCTTCCTGGAGAGGACCTGGGCTGCAGGGAATGGGCAGAGACCTGTCTCTGGCCACAAAGAGAAGTTCTGCCAGCACATGCAGCTTGCAAAAGGGGAAAGGTACTGCATCAGGAAGGAAGCAATAGATGTTGCTGTCAACACCACCAATGTCCTCCATTTGACTGAACTATACCTCTTCTGGGTATCTTCCTAAAAGAGTTAACGATATAGTACAGTAATTCATACATACCATGTGTATAGCAGCACAATTCATAATAATTAGATCTTGGAAGCAGTCTATACATCCATCAATAGATGAACTAGTAAGGAGTGTGGTATTTACACACAATGCATTACTACTCTACCATAAAGGATAAACGAGTCATTTGTAGGAAAATGGATGGAGTTTGAGACCATAATACTAAGTGAATTAAATAACACAAGCTTAAATATCACATAGTTTCTCTAATACAAGAAACCCAAAATATAAATAATTTAAAGAGCAAAATAAAAGATGATAGGAAATAGGTAGGCTCTGTGGCAGTGGGAGGCGAATCTGGAGAAGGAAAAAGAGAGCAGACATGACTGAGGTGCGATATAACCAGTTTTCAGATGCATGTAATTATCACATATCCCAGAGCTACACTGATGAGAAAAGAAGTCCATGACACAGATCTTCTGGGGCAGCAGTGGGAACTTCCACCACAAGAGGAAGAAAATGGAAGATGCCGCTTTCTAGATTTCTAGGAGGAAAGGGATCGAGATCTCTAGATGGCCTTGCCCAAGGCCAAAGGACTGTAAAATAAAGAGGACACGACAGAAGGTTCTGCGTCTGTAGATGTGTTACATGTTTTTATTTGAGTTCCAGGTCAGCTACCGAGGGTTAAGAGCTGGACACGTGCTATCACGATGGCCATGCTGTGTCCTGAAAGGTCTAAGAGAGGGAGCAGATGACTGCAGCCATGAGACTCAGTGAGAAGCAGCAGTAATGACAACACTCAGCAGGGGGCGCACAAGATTCAGCAGCCCATGGGCTCCCTGTGAATAGAGGGCAGGGGTCCTCATCTCACTGCTGAGAAAGGCACCTGGGTGCAGGCTACGGAGAGGAGATGGAGCAATTTCTGTTCACTCAGAGGCTGCCCATCAAATTGGTGTCTCTTCTCCATCTGGAAGTGCTTAGCAGTGATGTTTCGAGCACTCTCCTGAATACGGGGAAGAGACTTATAAATATTTTCTAACCCCCTCCTACTGAACTACTTAGAGCATCAAGGAGCACAGGCAGGTGCTAGACTGAACTGATGAAATACAGAACGTGAAATAGTGACCTGTGCATCCATTTCCTCCTGACTGGGCTCCAGCCCACTCCAAGCCCTCCCACTGACTAAGAGATTAATGGGCAGAGGCCCAAACTTGTTATTTAACAACACAGTTTATACCTACAGTGAACGTTTTAAGTCCCTAGTCAAAAACTGTGTTCTTTTCCAGTTGCTATTTAAAACCTGGAACAATCACAACCTTATTGTTATGTATGTTACAGGTTTTCTATGTGATTAGTGACCAAAGAGTTGTAAGAGACCCTCACTTGAATGGGACACAAACTGGAGCATTCAGACAAGTTTAGAATGGCAGAACTGGGAGAATCCAAGAACTGGAGGCCAGCAGGAGCCAAGAGGCCTGGATTTGCTGCCAAGCATCATTTGCACTTGTAAATAATTAAACGTTTCTAATGCACCCTGGCCCCACTTCCGGATGGCTTATGCTTCCTCTTCATTTCCTTTTTAGAATCTGGCTTCATATTTACTGGAAAAGCAAATTTTTGGTACCTAGGTCACATATTTTCCATTCAAAACAAATTCTGAAATTGTCACTCCTGTATGAATTTGGTCCACATAACTTCAAAATGTTCAATATTTTAAATAAAAAATGGAAGAAAAATACCCTTTCAACACTAATGAGTAATAAGTAAAACCAAATGGAATAAAAATATTTAAGATATATCTTGAAATGTACTATGGTAATTCAATGAAAATTTTATATATATATATTTTATATTGCCTCTAGAAATATTTATGAAATTTTAAAGCATTTTTAAAGGTCAATAGAACCATTTATTATAACTTAATATATTTCATGGGTAGGGTTTCTATTCTGTCAGAACATATTATTAAAAATATTCTTATTTAATATTTGTGGCCTTTAAATGGAACAAATCGGAGAGGGAGAAAACCACCAGCAGACAGCCAAGAGGAAAAGCATATATAAAAGGATGAGTTGTAATCATGGGTACATTTTCTTCAGGTATCTGGGAACACAAACTGGAGTAGAGATGGTAGAGGAGGTTAAAGAGGTTACGTTAATTTCAAGAAGGAAGAAAAGGGTGTTCAGGGTCCTGGAGGATATTTCTCCATTATAACCACCAGGGGGCAATGTTGGCCTAGGACAGTTTGGTTGCTCTTAGATGGGGATGTCAAGATCAGCCACTTGTGGGAAGATATTTATAATTTAAGGATACTGGGGGAAAGAGAGAGAAAGAGAGATACCTTATGAATACACGTGTATAAATAGTTGATCAAAATGTCAATCATATCTCTCATAAAAGCACTCAACATCGCCTATCTTCAAGTGCAGCGATTTTTGCATTTGAAGTTCTCACCAAAAGATGTGCTTGAACAGCACAGTACAATATGGTTGGCATAAACCTTCCTTGGATTTAATGAAAACATATCCTTAAACATACTGTCTTTCTCTTAAGTGCACCAGACCTTTGGAAAACCTTTCTACAATGTTATTATTCACCTCGAAATTAATGATTTCCATGTGATAGCACCTTCATGTTTTATATGTTCACACATGGACACACAATTTTACATGCACAAATATGTATACACATGTACATGCATCACAGAAACAGATAACAAGCTGCTATTTTAAAGTCAAATCAGTAGTAGGAGATACTAACAGAAAGATTTCCCTAAACTTTCATACCCTAGAAAAGTAGTGAATCTAGATTATGAGCAAAGGTATATTTAGATTGATAATGACAAGCTGTTTAGACATCAAATAACCAGGCAGTCAGAAACCTGTCTTTAACTGTTACTGACACGTCTACATCTGAGCCCATATTTCTGTCACCATCTTAAGAAGTTGGGCTGGGGGTATATCTCTGTTGTAGAGTATAGACCCTAGGTCTGGTTCCCGGCACCACAAAATAAACCTACCGAAAAACAAAATTAAGAAGCATGATCTATTTTCTGTCATTTGTAATAGAAATTTTACTAATTTAGGTTCTAAAACTGAGACCCTATGGGAGTTATCAATTTGTAGGGTTTTAATATTCAGTTCTCTGTTCACTTTTTTTTGGTACCAGGGATCGAACTCGGATCCTTGTGTTTGCAAGGCAGGTGGCAGAACCACTGAGCTAAATCCCTGGCCCTCTGTTCACTTTTTAGAAAGACCCTTCTCTAGTCTTTAAAATACTCCTTTAAGGGTGTTGCCCAAATCTATTTGTCATTTATTAGCTCTCAATACCTAGAAAAGACAAATGAAAGGAACAACTGTGCTTGGTTTAACAGCTCTGACCAGACAAGGTCCCACCCTCCTGCCTGTGTGACACGGTGCCAGGATGTGGGCCCAGAAAGAAAGCCCTGCCAACTGTCAGCCAGCCCAGATCCCTGTATGCCATGTTCTTGCTCTCAGTCCTGCGATTAACACTCCTGAGCAAGAGCCAAAGACCGTCTCCTCCTGCCCCACACCTTGCAACACATCTTCCAAATGGGTAGGGTTCTTTTAATGGTGGCAGAAAGTGTGGCCCTTTTATCACCACACTCAATAAAAAGGCAATAATGAGAACACAAGTGAGTAGCCCTTTTGTTCATGCCTTTCCTCCTCCTCTGCCCACTGTTACCCCACTACAGGCTCCCGATCATGCACAGCTCCCAACTGCCCAAGTCTTATGGTTGTGCTTTGCAGTACAGATGAAGTCTCTGATGGTAGGTAGTGTTTAATGGTCAGAATGGCCAACATTTAATTTATCTCATTTTTCCCAAGCATGGAGGAAGGTGTTGATGAGAGAACATGAAATTCACAGTATTCACACAATGGGAATGGAGTATGAAATGAAGAAGCTTCTGTTTTCCAGAAGCATAATGTATACTTACGAGAGAAAGCTTTGGGAATTAGTGCATGAAAGTCCCTAAAGCCATCAGCCCCATATGTAACTGCAATAAAAGAAGGCAAAAAAGAAAGCAGGGTTGTAATACCATTAAAGATGTAGTAAGACCTTTACAGACAGCATCATATTAAGAAAACATATTGTTGCTGAAAACCGCGGGTTCACTACTAATCTGCTATTCTTGGTCTTAGTATGGGCCACAGAAAAATAACCACTCAAGTCGGGACTCTGACCCCCCAAGAGTGAGGACTCATGAGATGCCTGAATGAGGACCAAACTGTTGGGTATTGTGTCTTAGGGGCAGTGACGCCAAACATCCTAGAACAAGGAGGATGCTTCCAGCAGTGCCAGCCCAGGATCTCAGCCTGGTGGCAGCATCCCATGAGAAGACACAGACTTCCATGAGAGCCATACGTGCCTCACAGATGTTATTTACCCAGAGCATGTTCGCAGAAAGTTTTTAAACATTTTTTTAATGTGACATACTGGGCAGGGAAAAGCTGTTGTTTTCTCCTGCCTCCCAAACAGCCACCAGTGTCTGTGGGCATTCCTTGGCAGCTGCTTGCTTAAGGGGTGTCACTACCCCAAATTCTCATACTGTTCCATGGGACAGAGAGGCCAATGTGTTCTGATTTCTTAAGGAAATGGGCAGATTCTGCATGAACACATGTGTGTGCCCATGTATACATGCTTTCCCCTGCAAGAGTTTCATCCCAATCACATCAGTCATGTACACAAAATAGCTGCTAAGTTAAACTTGGGCAAACTACATCATTTGCAGAGAAAAGACTGAAGTGAAAAAGTACCTGTTTACCAAACTTTCCTGACACCAGTGTCCTCCAAACTGATTGGATCACAGGTTCTCTCATTTCCCCATGAAAACTTAACAAAACACTGGCATAATAAGCAAACATAGTTGAGAAGAACCTGCATTTTGGAGTTACTGGCTTAATCACTTCCCCCGATTCCCTTACCTTTCATCTATTATTTCCCAGATGACCAGAATCTTGTGGCTAAAGTGAGAGCCATGCATCCTGTCAGACTAGAGATGCACTGTGTTATGGTCCAGAGCCAGGCAATAGTGCAGCACCAACTGGGCAAGCTTAGCTATCCCTGGTGTCTTTATGGAGTGAGTGGTACATTATGGTGTACACACGTGCATGACATATCCGCTTTTCCACCTCCTGTTCTGTGTCATGGCGGACACAGAACATGTGACGATGGCAGGAAAGGCAAATGTGTTTTATTAAAGAGTAGGACCTTGTTCAGGTGGAACATTGCACTAAGTGAAATAGCGGAGAACCCTGGTTCAGGGACAAATGAGTGAGCTATTGGGGGCACAGACACGAGAGCAGGGGTGGTGAGTAGACAGAGACCTTTCTACTTCACCCCTGCAGCTCAGCACCCACACTACACACACAGGAACAGAACAGCAGGAAAGCTCACTGCCGATCTGAGGGACAAGCGTAGTGAAGTTGTATGTGAATGCCATACAACTCTTCTAACTGTTGGGCTTGCCCTGTCTGGGTCATCCATGTGCAAGCCTGGAAACATGGTGCTTTCGCTGGAATGCTCTCCACTGTGCCCACTGGTGTCGATATAAAGCATAAGATATCACGTTGCTGGACTTTAAGTGCTAATCACAGGTTAAGGGGCCAGTTCTTTGCCCACTGTCATTCAAATTAGCCTGCTAAGTTTGTCCTAAATATTTGGTTCCCTACAAATTAAAAAGTTAAGAAGACAGATTATCGCTGCAGCTGTCAAGCTATAATGAGAACATCTCTTGGGCATGTGCCATCCACACCCACACCACCTCTAGTTCAGGGACCGAAGTGCGTGCGACATTCTCATCCACGTGGAAGCCCGGTCCCCCGTGATAGCCACTCACCAGGAGTGTCACAGGTGCCAGGTCTGCACAAAGGCCTTTCCATCCTCAGCCTTGAAACCTTACCGCTGCCCTGGGAGGCTGGCACTGCCTCCGTGGGCTCCAGAGGAATTGTGGAATTTGTCATGTTGGTGGTCAGCATTTGCATATGCAAATGAAGCCTCTATCTCATGACTGTATGACAGTCAATGTCCAAACCCCCAGTGTCCCAGCAGTGGTCCCTGGGTGGGGGAGGCTTGGTGCAGGTGGAGTCTGGGATGGTGGAGAGGTCACTGCAGCTGTGCACACACCTAAGTCACACACCAAGTCGAGTGACTTCTCAGCCACCCCTCTTCCACTCACCCAGTGACGGTGCTCACTTCTCTCCTCCCCACCCATCAGCTCCTGTCCAGGTTCCAGGGTCCCGCTGCACAGGCTCTGTGCCCTACAAAGCCCCAGGTCCTGCACAGTCCCCACCATGTGCAAAAGACAGAATAGGAGGAAAGCAGGATGGTGCTTAGGGCCCCATCGTGGGAGAACTGGGCTCCGTCCCACTGCTCTGCAGACCTGCGATACCCTCCGAACTTGCCCTCCTTCCCAGCCTGCTGCCTGCACCCTGTGCCAAAGGGGTGACCCAGATGCCATCTGTTCTGACCCATGTGGGGCTCACCATCACCCTCGCCTCCCATGGGAAAATTGGTGCACTCCCCCGTCCAGCTATGTCCCACCCTGGCATGTCCATAGAGAACTGTCCTGCCCACCATGGGGACATCTGGTCCATGAGTGGTCACAGGTCTTGCCTTCAGGTTCTGGTCCCCCACTGCCCTGCCTGTTGGACAAGGCTTTGATCCTCAACTCTGCATGGAATTTCTGGATTGGCCACAGTGTGCACTGTTACAAGGAGCAAGAGTCATCCAGCCCTGGGTCACCAGCCCTCTGTGACGACAGTGCTGGTCAGGGAAGTAGGGTCATGAGCCCCAGGAGAAAATACTAGAAGCAAGCAGGCAACACAAAATACCTGGCAAACTACCCCTTTTGTAAGCACAAGGGTTAAATCAAAAGATAAAGTGGATGTTTACATTGGAAAAGTTACTACAGCAAAAGACACACTGCCATTAATCCCCCTAAAAATACTCCTGTCTTCTAACACACTTCTCCCATTGTCCTTGACACTTTCTGAAGCAGCTCTGAACTCCTCTTTCCTGAGGGTCTTTAGGAGGTGGGATCAAAAATACTGGGAATGCCGTAGCATACCCCACAGGAATGCAGGCTCATGAAAACATAGTGCTGTGTCCTGCTCCACTGTATTCGCTGGATCTGGATCTGGCACTGTGCAACTTCTGGCTCTTCTCTAGAGTCAGAAGGACCATGAGAGGGAACCATTTTCAATCAATTCAGGACATCAAGGCAGCTGGGACAGTGTAACTAAAGACACTTAGGAAGGAGGACTCCAGAGCTGTTGCAGGAAGTGGCAAGGACGATGGGATGAGTGTGTTTGAGCTGAGGGGGATCCAGGGCAGTGTGTCTTGTACTGTGATAGAGTTTGGAAATGTAAACTTTCACTCTACTTTTGATCTCACCTCGTCCTTGCAACTCCCACCTTATTTTATAGCTAAGCCTCTGCTGAGTGGTGTCTGGGTCCTTGAGTCTCAGCCCCCGGCGCCCAGCTCCTGTTTCCCACCCTTGGGATGAGACACCCTGCCATGTTCCCTGTTCCGGCACCTCTTCAGCCTTCAAGGGATGACACTCAGGGCAGTGTGGTTCCCCGCCTCTCCCTGGCCCAGACAGAGGTCATGGCCGGCCAGCTCAGGGCCCCCCACTTCCTGAGGCTCAGGAAGGATTGGGTGTGCATTACAGGCTGCTGGAGTCACAAGTTTCTTCCTACTTCTAGATGACAGCAGTAATAGCCTGGTATTTTCAGAAAGCCACTTCCATTAAATGAGCCTGTGAAGAGGACATGGTGGAAAGCCCCGGATCCTCACTGTCATTACCAGCCTGGTTCCCAGGAATCCTGATACCTTCAGACCAAGTTAGAGCTCTGTGCCCTCAGCAGCCACGTTACTCAGCCTCGTGGCCTGGCTCTCTGGTAGAGTGTGTTCCCCAGGTTCCCTGGTCTGTGTCCACACATCCTGGAGGCCCCCACACCTGGACATCCAAAGGTCAGCAGGTGACAGGGTAGCCACCACGTCACAAAGGAAGAGGAGCCAGGCAGAGGGCACTGTCTTGTGACTGTGGTCCCTGAGCTCCCCAGTCTCCCAGTCATGAACGCTGGCACCCAGGCCCGGCCCTGCGGCAGGGCGCAATGCTGGCACTCTGCTTAGGGGAAAGAGGACAGAGAGGACACCTTATCTTCCCAGCCACAAAGGATCCAGGGCTGGGCACCGGCTCCACCCAGCTAAGCTTTGCCAAACTCAGGGTGTGTGCTCTGCTGCTGCCCGGGACAACGGGGGAAAGGACAGGACCACGGGAAGCCCACAGCACCTCTGAGCTGAGTCCGCAGAGCTTCTCCTCCTGGTGCCCTGCAGGGATGAGCGCTCTCCCAGGGTGGGGTCCAGAGGGGCACGTGGCCACTGCCCACTTGTATCTTCTTAGGGGACACAGCGAACACCTTAGGCTGAAGCACTTCTGCCAAAGGGCAGGGAGGAAGCTCAGCAGGACAGCACTGCCTAGCTTGTGCGAGGTCCTGGGCTCCATCCCAGCACACACTCACACACACACACACACACACACACACACGCACAGAGCTCCTGTTAACAAACCTATGGCTTGGGAAGGGAGAAATGAACAGACTTTCTTCCAGAGTAGAAGTAAAGAGAAAACACTTGCAAAGACCTGGGCTATGCATGGAGGCACATATTCAACAGGCTCCTAGCACGCCTGGGGTGGCTTCTGAGTATTACAGCTTCCTGCTTTTCCTTTCTTAAAAATACATGAAATGATGTTTGCTTATTTTGATATCAAGGATTCAAAAGCACCAGGGTGACATTTCCAAGTCCTGTAATTTAAGGAGAACCCTGTGAAAAGGAAGAGAGTGAAAAATACTAACTACAGTGAGAGAAGCCGGGTGGGGTGGTGCACACCTCCAGTCCAGGACTCATCTGGGAGGCTGAGGCAGGAGGATCATGAATTCGAGCCCATCCCGGGCAACTGAACAACCGAATGAGACCTTGCCTCCAAATTGAAACTAAAAAGGGCTAGAGATGTGGCTCAATGTGAAGATCCTGGGTTTAATCCTCAGTGGCACAAAGAAAAAAACAGTGAGAAAACTTAGCTTTAAAATCATGGAAGAAACAGGCATTCAAGCAGTAAATAGCAGGAAGAGAACAAAAATGGCCAATGAATGACGTGACAGAAAGGCTCCTTACTCTTCGGGAGGGGCCAGGTGTCAGGTATGGCTCTCACAGAGCAGCAGGTTGTTCCGTGGCTGCCAGCCTCAAAGGCTGGAGATGGGAGCAACTATAGTGGCTTTACTTCCGACTGCCTTCCTGAGTCAGGGTTCTTTCATGTGCTGTCAACTCACAGAGGGGTACTACTCAGCCACAGAGAAAGATACAGCTGGGTCGTTTGTAGGGACATGAATGTGCCCTGAGACCATAATGCTGAGCAAAGCAAATGAGATAAAGGAGGTTTGGTGTTATGTGGGTTTTCTTATTTGAGAAACCCCCACTGCAAATAATTTGAGGAATAAAATAAAAGACAGAGGATAGGAAACAGGGAGGTAGACTTTTTCTTGTAAATGGGAAGGAGAACCAGAGATGAGCAGAGGGAGAGGGAAGGAACGGGAAATAAAAAGGACTAAGATATGATACGTACACACACCAGCTCCCGATGATGAATGCATCACAGATATATACTAATAAGAGAGGAGTAAGAAATAAGTCCACGAAAAATAGAAACCAGGAGAAGAAAGATAAACAAGGCTCTTGACTCAGCACATGGAGATGCGGGCAGAGCAAGAGCTGAGCGAGGACCTCTGTCTTGTCCTGTGGTCCCCAGAGCAGCCCGGGGACAGGCCCCACCCCTCAGAGGCCCGACACTCACACCATTCCCTCCCTTCCCCACCCGGCCTGGCTGGCCCCAAAGACTCCAGAAGCCCTGGAGCTGCCCAGGGAGGCCCGAGATAAAGTAATCTCTCCTGGGACACACAGGGTGGGACCCAACGGGTCCCTGACTGAATTCCATGCACAGGGTGGTGGCTCAGCAGGGCGCAAGGGGGGAGGGACTGGAAGCTGCCTGGCTCCGGGGACCCATATATAGTGTGTCTGCAGGGAGGCGACCCCGTGTGTCCACTGGGCTGTGGGGCCATGGGGGGTGCAGGCCTCGTCCCGGCGTAGCCATCGCTCCAATGCTGCTCCTCAGGCACCTGCTTGGGCAGTAGCCCTGGGCACAGGGTACACCTGTCCCTGAGCTGGCTGCTCTCAGAGGGAAGGCTGGGGCCAGGGTGAGGCTGGAGCCGGAGGGTAGGGCGGGTGCATCTGGCCTGGTGCACAGGCCTGCACAGGAGGTGTGCAAGAGTGGCCACCTGTGTGCACGCATGTGTGCAGCTCAGGGAGGCTGCTCTCCCGGCACAAGTGCACGCATAGGCAGTGACTGTGGGGTGGCGATGACTTCCGCACTGCAGGCGTGGGGTTCGCAGCTGACCCCAACATGGAACTGTCCCCCTGCTTGCCTGGGCACAGGGCCAGGACTCCACACTGTGTTACTCTTCTTCTGAGGAGCTCTTCAAAGCTCTCCCTGTTTCTTTTTTCTTTATTTCCTGTTTCTTTTTATTTCTTTATTTTTCCCTTGATTTTTTTCTTTTCTTTCCCTCCCTCCCTTCCAACCTGCTTCCCTTCGTCTCCCTTTTCCCTCCTGCTCTCTCTCCTTCCTCCTCTTCTTCCTTTCCTCCTTCTTCACCTCCTTTCTGTCCTCTTCTTTCTCCTGTTTCTTTGCTGCAGTTCTGGGGCTGGAACCCGGGCTTCCCTGTGAGCTCCACCCTCAGCCCTTTTGTATTTTCTATTTTGAGCCTGGGTCTCATTAAGTCACTCAATCTCCAGGCGGAGCCCAAACTCGTGCCCTTCTGTGGGATTATGGGGCTGCTGCATCACCACACCAGGCAATTTTTCTTTCCTTTTTCTTCCTTCCCCCCGCCCCCATTATTTCCCAATCTTTAGCCCCAGACCTCATACATGCTAAGCACATGCTGTTCCACGTGACCATCCCAAACAGCAGGCTGGCACCACTGGCAGGACCCTGAGCACTGCTCAGCCTCTGCCAGGTGCACTGAGAGGGAGCTGTCCTAGCCCTGCCTCAGCTTCCTCATGCAGGAAACCCAGAAAATGCCAGCTTCACGACTCCTTGGGGCCCAGATGCCCGGTCTGGTCCACCGCAGCCCTGAGAAAAGCCAGCTGCCCAGACGGCACTGTCACCTCCCTGGCTCAGCTCCACGCTCTGCAGCCCTGGGCTTCCTGGCACTGCTGCCCAAGTCACACGAGTTCCCTGAAGGACCTTAAATGTCACCTTTTTCTCAGGAGGTAGCAGCTGCTTCTTAGGATTACAGTGTCTCCAAAAGTCCTGTCCTTCACAGCAGCAGCGTTTCTCCGAAAGGGGCTGTTCCTCCCTCTCTTTCCCGTCTTTCTCCCTTTATGATTCAGCAGTTTTGGGAACTGTATGGAAATGACCCGCGTGGGTCAGGCCTGCTTCCAGCCAAGATCCCAGAAGCCCGAGTCCTTGGTGGCATCAAAGTCCCGGTGAGACTCCAGCTGCACATGCTGTGCCCTTACCAGTGTCACAACCTGAGGCAGCCCTGGGAAGACGGGCAGTCCACCCCATTTCCCCTCAGGAGAAGCGAAGCTCAGGTCACCCACACAGCGGTCCAGGTGCCAGAGGAGCACCTGGGCACAGCCGGGCCCCAGGGGTGGTGGCAGAGCCTGGCTTGGGATGGAGGCGACCGCACCCCGCCATGGCAGAGAGGAAGTTGGGCGCCAGGGGCTCTGGGGCCAGCAGGACCCTGAGGAGAGGACTGAGTCTCCTTCCAGGGCAGCAAGGGGTCCCCATGGGTTACAGCACACTGGGTGGCGGCCAGCAGGGTGAGGCCAAGCTTCCCAACCCCACTTCTCCATTCCTGTGCCCCAGCTCCCGCCTCATCCAGATGCTCCCTCTGTCGGGAGGCAGGGCCACAGCCGCGATTGTGACACCGCGCCTGTGTCACAGCGCAACTGGGTTTCCACATCCTCCCGGTCGCACTGTAAGAGCCAAAGAAGAGGAAGCAGGCACATAGTGAAATATAGGAATGCAGGAAAAGAGGAAGCCGCCCAGGACTGAGCCCAACCGCCATGCGGGGCGAGGGAGGAGTGACAGAAAGGGAAGTGCAGGGCAGGAATGGCGCACACTCACGGGGCTGGAGGGGCAGTGCATGCACGTGTGCACACACACGGTACACACATGGACACACAGAGGAAAGACAGACACAGGCAGAGACACAGAATACAAACACACCTGCAAATCTATTCACACACGGATGAAGAGATGTACACACAGACACACACTCACTTCTACACAGACACGGGCACACAGGTACAGACACATGCTCATTCACACACAGGCACACACACACCCTCACCCACACACGCATACAGAGTTACACAAGTATGCAATTACACACAGTCACCACACAGACACCTAACACATGGCACACACACACACACACACACACACACACACACACACACACACGTATGCACCCAATCTTTCTTGTCCTAAATCAAACCTGAGAACCAAGCTCTGGGAGCACAGCCCCGGGGTGGAGTCTGCTGTGAACACCTGCTGGCTGCCAGAACACCTGCCCATGGGGCCACATGGATTCCGGGGGTCTTTGCTGTCATACTCTCGTAGTCAAGAAGCCAGAGTGAGCACATGGCACAGCTTCCTTACTGCATAATTGCAATGTAATTTTAGGGCAGAGACAGACACAGATGAAAGGGAAGAAAGGTAGGACATCCAGGTAGCTGTGATATCATGTTTTGGATGGGGAGAGGAGAGGGAAGCCTAGGACAGAACAGCATGGCAGTGAGTGCACCACGGTGGCGTTTTCTGTTGGCGGAGAGACCCGGCCAAGCTGCAGTCCAGGAATCCCCAGCAGAGCGGTTGGAGGCTGCTTCGCCTGGACGCCCCACATGGGAAGAGAGTCCCCGTACAGTGCGGGTTTATAGCCAGCACCCTCCTGGCCCTGCTCCTTGCTTTCCCAGGAGAGACACGGGCTGCTCCCAAGACTGAACCCTGACAATCTGATCCACAAATCTTTAGTTGGAGGACACCTGAGGATGATCCTTTTCATCTGCCATGAATATGCGCAGAAAGGCTGCAGACAGGCAGATGTGGACAGAAGCTCTGCCCAACTCACCTCTGTCTGGTAGTGGGGCCTCCCTGGGCCTGATGGTGTACACAGGATGCCCCTTTAGCGGCTTCCCCTTCTCCCAGTCTCTGAGGGTGTCATCCTCCAGGTGTCTGTCCCAGAGCAGTTCTCCTCCCGGAGAAGTAGTGTTCCTGTGTCTTGGTCCTCTCCCTGCAGGACACTTGGAACCCAGTGCCTCCATCTGACCCAGAGTCCTGGCCCATCCCCTGAAGGGATGCTGGGCAGGTGCTTTGGCTGACATTTCTGCGTCTGCCACTCAATGCCCTTCCCTACCAGGACATTTTTGACATCCGTGTGTCACACTGTAGCAGGCTGTGCAAGCACTGAAACCCCCAGCATGGCTGAGACAAACTGCAGTGCATTTGGCAAGCACCCACTCAGCATGGGGCCCCAGGACTCCAGGCCCTCCGGGGGATGCACCAGCTGCACCCCAAGGCAATCATGAAGCGTGCTGACAAGTGCCTCCTGGAATGTGTTCCTGATTCTTGGAAAAGAAATGCTAGAGGACTGGAAAGAGGGTAAACAGCGTCCCCTGCTCTTCTGGGCCCTCTCAGGATGGGGCGTGGTGCCCTCACCCCAGCTCTGCCACCTGCTTTCCTCCCTGGGCCCCGTGCCACTCACAAGGTGCAGCAGGGACACAGGACACTCAGCTCTGCTGTGCCTTGGATGCAAGAACACACACAGCGGAGAATGATGGACGGCCTTTGCCATGGACCGCTCTCTCCTCACCCGACACCCCCAGGGTCACTATCAATTTAAGCTGGCTGTTCCTGGCTCTGTGTGGCCTTACTTCCTTGAGGGCTCACACTTGAAGGGCATACTTGGGTTTAAACCCCAAGTTAGAGATGAATCCACAGAACCCACAAACAGGTATGTTTTCTCTGCAGCTCTGCCCTGTCCGCTCTGGGCTAGCTGGGTCCCAGTGTTCAGGCATCTCCTGGGGACAGGCGCTGGGATCTTGTCCAGGACAACAGCTCTGCCCTGCAGAAAGCAGTGAGGCCCCGAGCCAATGCCCATGGGCAGAAATATGCAAGAGGACAGTGACACTTCTTAATAACAAATGTCAGTAACTCACCGGTACATCCGGAGGTGCACAGGTGAGTCCCCTAAGTAAGCACAAACGCTGAGTACCCTGGAGCAAAGGGCCCAGGTCTTGGGTCCCCAGAGGAACTCACCTGGCTTCCTAACTCTTGGGGCCTGGCTGTCCTCCCATGTCATCTGGTCACCCTCCCCAGTGTTCTGTGCATGTCATTAATTGCACCACTGTCACCGATGTCCTCAGTATGTCTCACCAGTCACTTTGCCACTACATCCCTAGGGATGGGTCTCAGGGGCCCGTGCCATGACATCAGAGCACCCCGTGGTCCAAGCTGGCCGGGAGATGAGCACGGGGACAGTGACTTAGCTTTCTGCTCTCCCTCTCTGTGCCAGCATCCCCACTGCAGAAGCAAAGGAAGCAGAGGCAGACAGGTATCTGCAGGTCCAGGTGTCTGTGCAGGTGGGCAGCCTGGCGGGGCTGTGAAGGCCAAAACTACCCACCACCTGTCAGCAGCAAGAGTCAAGTCTCATCAGTCTTTACATCTCCCTCTCTTTGCCTCCCCCTCAATTTTGTCATTTTTATCCATCTACCATTTCTACAGGGTGGGCACTGAACCCAGGGCCTCTGTACTCAGCTACGCCCTCAGCCTTTTTTTGTTTTCATATGTTTTAGTTTGAGGCGGGGTCTGGTTAAGTCACTAAATTGCCCATGCTGGGCTCATACTCGCAGTCCTGCCTGCGCCTCTCAGAGCACTGTTGTCACAGATGTCCTTAGTCTCCTTAAAGGCAAATGTCCTGAAAATCTTGTTGGCATGGAACTGCAAACCCCTCTGCAGGCAAGCGTGGCTGTGGGAGCTGTTTTCACTCACGTTCCACAGTCCCAGGCTTCCAGCCCTTTCCTTCACACCTTGTGCCTTTTCAGAACAGATTCTGCCATAAAAAACTAAGTCAGAAAAGAGGCATGGGGAGCCATCACCTTGCTTATGAGCAACACTCAATTTCACGCAATAAATTGTAAAAGAATTCCAAACCTATGTAAGAAGGGAATGCACAGCCTACTTGTAGTTGTAAATAGAAATAGAAAGCTTTAACCTTTGGCCTTGACAATATATTTTAATCTAGGCCAAGATAAGACAGGGCAGAGGGCCAAGTAAAATAAAATTCCTGACAGCTAGTAGAAGCGTATTTGCATATTTGTACATGACAGAAGGGAATATGGGTCAGGTTCGGTTTCATCGTGGAGGCTGCAGGTTTCAGGGGCAGAAGTACAAGCACAGTTAGGACTGGAAGGATCTGAATGAAAATCGAAGAGGTGGAAGACCTCAGGCCTTGGCTGCATTTGCAACAGAAATCCCTGAGGGCTCAACAGCCACCAGCCGTCCTTGTCCCCTCCCACTGGCCTGACCATCTACAGCACCAGCCAGAGGCGAGGTCCCTGCGGGAAGGGGAGTGTATAGGAGAGAAGTTGTAATTTAGAAAGCAGATGAGATAACTGACATTGTGAAATGGGAAGAAAAGGACTAAAGGTGTAGGGAAGGTGGGATGGGTAGCGGAAGGGTAATAAGGGAAAAGAAGAAAATGTGAGAAAATGAAAGGATGGAAATAAAGTGGTTGTAAATGGGGAGAGGAGGAGGGGGTAAAGGGAGGGCAGGAACAAGGGGGAAAAGGGAGAACCAAGACCTGTCATGTAGAGGTACAAGATCCCAACAATGAAAGTAACTGTACTGTATCCCTAAAATGTACCAATAAACTCAATTAAAAAAAAAAAAAAGCAAAGAGACAGAAAGAGGTACCATAGAGATACAAGGATCCACAGTCAGGATCCTTCAGGTCCTGCCACGAGCCTGTGGCTTTTCCCGTCAAATAGAGAAGCTGTGGATTAACACAGGCAAGTACGCCTTTAGGCATGAGGAAGGCTACATATCTGAAATATGGACTGACACAGAAAACCTACAGGCAGTACCTGCAGACAAGAGGTGTGCTGCTGGGGTGAGTGGGTGTGTGAGGGAGGGCTGGGGCACAGCCCAGGGCAGGGAGCCTGCCTGGCATTCGTCTCCCCGGGCTCCACCCCCAGCCCACAAACAAGTGAGTAAATAAAAGATCATAGAGGATGAATGAGTAAGCTAATGAACTGGTAATATACAACATGTGTGCTACCAATGACCTGCCTGAGGTGTCAGGCTTAGTATTTGTGAGCTAAACTTGAGAAAAGGTTAGCACATTTTCAGTCTTTAAAGGGCTGGGTCCTTGGCTGACTGGAGCAAGGCCCTGAGTTCAATCCCCAGGACCGACCTCAGCCCCCAAAACACTAACCTTCAAAGAATCTTGGGGCAAGAGATGTCGAGTAGGTTCAGGGTGGTTCCTTATCCAAAAGGAATTGCACTGGAAATCGAGGGCAGAAGGCTCAAGTGGTTTGGAAACCTGAGTCCCAAGAGGGTCTCCCCTCTGATGTGCTGGATTCAGGAGAAGCTAGCCGAGTTAAGCAGGAGGACCTCATCAGAGACCTGCTACAGCTACCAGTGTCACAGAGGCTCTGAGCCTTCTGCTGTCGCAAAGTGCTGGCCAGGTGGTTTTAGAATGGACTGGACGGTGAGCTTCGCTCCCAGATCCATTTCTTTTGCAGGTTGGATGCAACTGGGTGCTGGATGCAGAAATCCTGGGCAGGGGCG